AAAAAAAACAATTATAATTGAAACTAAAACTTTCTGTTCTTCCTGTAATTCTTGTTAATAAAAGAAGAAACTTTTGTTGTTTTTAATTATTTTTTTTATCCAACCAACCACTTTTATATTGAATAAAATCACTATAAACAAGAGTTTGTGACAAAGTTACAATATTAAATTCGTAACTGTAAGTGCATCCTAATTTTTTTTTAACTTGTTCTCAAAAGAACGCTATTTTACAGTGGTGATGACAGGTGGGCATTTAACATTCTAAGGTATAAAAAAATTAACATTTTCATTATAATCATGTTAATGTGTGTCAGCTATAATAAATGTAATATATATTTAAAGTAGCATGCCTCCAGATTCAAGCTCATTTTCATGAAAATTTAAAAAAATGTATTTAAAAGTAGAATTTGTCATGTGAACAAAGAAAGAAATTTACACATTGCAAATGGCATTAAAAATCTACGAAAATTATTAAAAATTGGTCTGAATATGCAAAAATGACCCTTACTGCCTGACTAACACAGTAAAAATATGGAGATAAATATGGCAAAATCAGTCACTATTGCACATAACATATCATTTATATCTTGAGTTCTAAATAATTTTACTTTCCTTAAAATCTTAGGACATTTTTCTCAAGGTTGACTTTCTTGATATAGTTTGGCTCATCCGGAGGCATACAGCTTTAATGACAAAGTTGTATATATGACTTCAAAATGAAACAAACTTAAAGAATTTGAAGCTAAAACTTTCAAAATCTGTACAATTAATTGTATGATGTTTTCATGTTCTTATAGTACTAACTGGGGAATTTTAACAAGAAGTGTCTCACTTATCTAACTCCCGAATTAAGTAATATAAAAAACACACTAAAATATTCCTTAATAAAATATTTAATGATGACTCTTTGCATGTGCCACCTTCTTATTATAAATTTACAAGCATTATTCCTTCAATTTCAAAACTCCAGTGTGATTCATGTCAAAATACAAACAGATATTCTACCAGATGAAAACAGCCAAATTCAACTTTATATTTTATACCCTTTAAAACTCTTCACTATAAAAAATGATAAATCTTTAAAACCAATATGCACAATATTATCTATCTATATGATATATATAAAAAATATACACTATACTTCATATATCACATATCTTGTAGAGTGGAATGTTATACAACAACAACAACTAAAAATCATATAAAATATATCTGTAATAAGTAGATCTACCCTTCTGTAAACGAAAATAAATTCAAGTAAATAAACATACAAATTTTTTCTTACTTCTATGCCCTGTTTTGGTAGTGATATGTCGGATTCAACCAAGCAGGAAAAAATATGACCTTAGACAACCTTATTACTTATATTTGAATGACCTTTCACCTTCAAAAGTGGCATTGACTTTACACAGAAATGTCATGTAAAGGCCAAAGTTCAAAGTCACATAAAGAAAAAAACTGTTGATAATAGCATTGCCTCTTCATTGACATAAAAGCAATGTGTAATAAGTTTTAAGTAGATTTCAGTAAATTTAAGTGTACCAAACTAAGCTATATTACCAGTTATTAAATACTGCCTTCCCATTGGTCAATTTAAAATTTGCACAAAAAATGATAACCAATCAGGAACTAGATTATACAAATTGATAAATCATCTTCAAAACTTGGTCCCAAATAAATACAAATATATATTTGTTTAAACTTATTCAATGAAAAGAAAACCAAAATGTATAAATATTCTGAAAAATTTTTAAATATACATTTTCACTATAAATTCTAAGCTATTTTCTACATATGACAAAACCTGATTGTTCTTTTGATTTAATAAATTTTACAACACAAATTATAGTCACCATTAACGTATTACAGCTAAAACAACCCTCAACGTAAATAATCTCCAAACAGGACATTCCTAAAGATTACAAAACTTTATTTAGAGGCAAAAGAACATAATATAACACATGTCTTGAATTAACAAGAGGGCCATGATGGCCCTGAAGTCGCTCACCTGTATATAGGCCCCCAGAGTGGGGCCAGTTTAAATCTCAGGGCCTTTTTTTGAACAAACTTGGTTAATGGTAGACACCCATTTGAAGATGTTTCATGCTAAACATCTAAGGTCTAACACGTTGAGTTTTTTAAAAAAAGATTTTCAAGTTTTAACTATACACATATAGTTAAAAGCAATGAAACCCCTAGGGCGGGTCCAGTTTTGACCCCAGGGCTTTTATTTGAACAAACTTTGAAGACATTCACTAGAAGATGTTTCATGTTTAATATCTAAACTCTAGCTATTTGTTTTTTTTCAAAGAGGATTTTTAAGTTTTTGCTATACACATATAAGGAAAATTAATGTCCCCCGGGGAAGGGCCAATTTTGACCCTAAGGCTATTATTTGAACAAACTTTGAAGACACTAACTGGAAGATGTTTCATGCTTAATATCTAAACTCTAGCTATTTGGGTTTTTTCAAAAAGATTTTTTAAGTTTTTTGCTATACACATAAATAAAATCAGGGGCGGGGCCAATTTTGACCCCAGGGCTCTTATTTAAACAAGTTTGGTAGACACCCATTAGAACATCGTTCATGCTAAATATCTTAGCTCTAGCTCTTTGGGTTCTTTAAAAGAAGATTTTATAAGTTTTTGACCCCAGGGCTTTTATATCAATGACCCCCAGGGGCGGGGCCAATTTTGACCCCAGGGCTTTTATTTGAATAAACTTGATAGACACTCATTAGAAGATGTTGCATGCTAAATATCTTAGCTCTAGCTCTTTGGGTTCTTTCAAAGAAGATTTTTTAAGTTATATGCATATAGGGAAAATCAATGACCCCCAGGGGCGGGGCCAATTTTGACCCCAGGGCTTTTGTTTGAACAAACTTGGTAGACACCCATTAGAAGATGTTTCATGCTTAATATCTTAGCAGGGGCATAGCTAGGGCTTGAAAAATTATACGCAAAGCGAGGCACGAAGTGCCGAAAGGGGGAGCGTGCGGGAGGGGGTGTCCCCCTCCCGCTGGTGGGGGTACGGGGGGTCTCCCCCGGAAAATTTTGAAAAATTAGATGTTAAATCGTGGACTCTGGCATGTCTTGAAGCAACTTTTGCACGTAAAGCATGGAGCATTCTCAAGTCATTTTCCCCCATAAATTGATACACATATAGCTGCTCGTTTTACTTTTTAACTTATTTCATTATAACTTCGAACAGATTTGTGAAGAAAAAAGGAGGTGTACGCCTTGTAGTTTTCTTATTTTACACGTGCATATAAACATACACAATTTTTTTCCATGTGAAGTTTGATTAAGGATGCAGATCATGAAATCGGTTTATGTATGAATGCCCGTTCAATTGTAAAACGCATTTAACCAGATAACAAGTTTTTTTATAGCATTTCTCATCAAATAAGTTTGGTAAGAACGGCTTTTCTCTTAAGCCTTCAGTCTTATTTATCGAAGTGTATGTATTATTTCCAAATGTACGAGAAAAATTATACTTTGAGAACTCTTCTATTCCATCGTAAGAAAGTGAGGGAAATTACCAGATACAACGAGATATTAAATGGTCTAAAGATCACTGCAATAGGGTATACTCAGGCGGTGAGAGAAAGTAAACGGACTGACTCATAGATATATCTTTGTTGCCCACAAAAATGTGGCCTCAATGATGGCTGCTAACGCCTCTCTGTTCTTTTGTACTTCTGCCCGATAGGGTTGATCCGAACTCGACCATTCTGCTCTTTCCTTCTTGCCGAATGGTACATAGTGGTCGGCTCTTGTGATGGAATTCATGTGTTCTTTGAGTGTGTGTGCCATCAACGGTTTTTATAGCGTTGCTCCAGTCAATCAACACCGGACAACCGCACTTTTTTCAGGACGCTATTTAAAGGCAAAACATGGAGACAAAATACCCCCATTAAAAAGGGATGTACTTTAAGTAGATGGGGTGTCTTCTTGCTCAAAACACGACAAATCCGGACTCGCTACTTGTCCCCTTTTGGTTCTCTGAAGGTGCACAACCGTATGTGGCTAACCCTTGGGAGGACAACTTTTTTTTAAAATATGGCACTCTTAGCGTTTTCTGTATCAATATTCCGATATCCAGGAATCGGCCCCCAGGAGCTTCGGGGTTCTCGAGGAAAAAGAAGCGGGGAAAGACAAAGAAGGGAGGTGGAGGGAAAAGAAGAAGGGAGAGGAGACAGACTTTGGCGCTGTTTTGCTGACCACGGGGGCACTTTCAGGTTTTGTGAATTTCGTTTGTTTTCCCTGGTCGATCATTATCGACTTAAAAGGGGTCCTGTTTGGGACCATAAACAGGGCCCTTTTCCGGGAATTTGAGGGATGTTTTTTTTCATTTTTGACAACTAACAACACACACCAAAAATAAATTTTGCCCCCGATTTGATGATTTTTTAAAATCTTGATCTAGACTTAAAAATTTAAAGTAGTTTTCAAATAGGGCTATTCCAAAAAGGAATTTGTCTTAATCTTTAAGAAAGTCTTATAATTTTATTTCTGAGAATTAACCAACGATAAGTTGAGCCTAGTTTGTAGATAAATTAATGCTGAGCTTTCATTTATCTCTGTGCAATAAGTTTGTAAATGCTTCGAGTTAACCAGAAACTTAACTTAAATTTCCTATTGCACATATATTGCGATAATTAAATAGAAACGCCATACGATATCTAGAGTGACGCAATCATAGTTTTACACTAGTAAACAGTATGACGCAACGAAATATTTTGTAACAAAATGGAGATCTAAATTTATAGCGATAAAGTCATTAAAACTTAGATTTTCTCAACTTTATTTTTTACCTTCCGAATTTTTTTATACGCAATTGCGTATTGTGGGTAATGGGCGCTACGCCCTTGCTTAGCTCTAGCTCTTTGGGTTCTTTCAAAGAAGATTTTATAAGTTTTTACTATATGCATATAGGGAAAATCAATGACCCCCAGGGACCCGGCCAATTATGACCCCAGGGCTTTTATTTATATAAACTTGATAGACACTCATTAGAAGATGTTTCATGCTAAATATCTTAGCTCTAGCTCTTTGGGTTCTTTAAAAGAAGATTTTTTAAGCTTTTCTTTATGCATATAGGGACAATCAATGACCCCCAGGGGCGGGGCCAATTTTGACCCCAGGGCTTTTATTTGAACAAACTTGATAGACACTCATTAGAAGATGTTTCATGCTTAATATCTTAGCTCTAGCTCTTTGGGTTCTTTAAAAGAAGATTTTTTTAAGTTTTTACTATATGCATATAGAGAAAATCAATGACCCCCCGGGCGGGGCCAATTTTGACCCCAGGGCTTTTATTTGAACAAACTTGATAGACACTCACTAGAAGATGTTTTATGCCAAATACCTAAGCTCTTCCTCTTTGGGTTTTTTAAAAGAAGATATTTTAAGTTTTTTCTATTGGTTGCATGGCAACCAAAGTTCTGCATGGAATTAAATTCTTTGAACAATTTTTAAAGGTGACCACCAAAGGAACATTCCTGTGAAGTTTGGATGAAATTGGCTCAGCGGTTTATGAGGAGATGTCATTTAAAGTAAAAGTTTACGGACGGACGCCGGACGGACGGTCGGACGCCGGACGAAAAGCGATCATAAAAGCTCACCCTGTCACTTTGTGACAGGTGAGCTAAAAATGAGTATTTACAGGGTTAATTGCCACAATGTAAAATATTATTGACAATACAATGGAATGAATAAAAAATTTTCTTTGCATGACTTAATACATGTACAATGACAGTGCACAGTTCTTCAAAACCAGTTCACAGTTACAGTATTTGTACTGATTTTTGACCCCAGACCCTTTTCTTTCCAAGAAAATACAATTTTTAGCTAACCCTGTTCTTTGCAAGAGTATGAGAAGTTACAATCTTTGATACTTCCAAGAAAATGCAAAATTCCCAACTTAACCTGGTCTCTACAAAAAAAAAACAACTATTTTTAGCTGACATTTTTCTTTGCAAGAAAATGCAATTCTCTGAGATAATCCTGTCCTTTGAAAAAAATGAAATTTTCAGATAACTCTTTTGGTTTCAAATAAATACAATTTCCCAGCTTACCTATTCTTTGTAAATTATTGATACAATCTGATCATAGATATGTCAAACAAAAATATGCAAAAATAATTATCTGACATTTTCTTGTTACCTCAAATATAACCCACAATTTCCAAAATTATATACAAGAAAAGAACATCACTGGCCACTTGATGCTGTCATTTATTCTTTGGCATAAAGGTTTTCATGGAATTCTCTAGATTATAAATAAATACAATGCCCATGTCCAAACAATTTATCATTAAACTTGGTAACAATAAGCTTCATATTGCTTAAAATTGTTCAAACCATTGAAAATCAAGAAATAACTACTGTAATGATCAAAACTATTTTTCACCTGCTGGAACCGAAAGTGATTTAATACTAAAAAATCATAAGTGCTTTTACAAGAGTGATTTTATCGCATTAGTTTTGAGAATAACCATTCAAGGTTTACAGAGCTTTCTTGTTTTGGTTTTTGCTGTTTTCCTGATCCTTACAGTAGCAGTATTTGCGTAGATCTGGATATTTCTCCTGAACACAGGCTGGCTGACTTCCGTACATATCTAAACGGCTTATTTCTGTCTCGATCACCGTGTATACACCTGATGTCATGTTTACCTAGAAAATGAAAAATGTTTTTTTTTAAAAATTCTATTCAGACCACTCTACATGCATTTTCTTTAGCTATTCGGTTATAAGTCACACAATAACTGTCATATTGAAACTTTCCAGCCTTATTGGTGGAGGAAGACCTCAGGACAATGGAGTAGAACCACTGACCTCTCTTAATGAAGCTATCTGGACTTAAAGCACCCTTGCATAACAGTGTCCGATGTTTAGATTTGAACCCACAGCAGTCAATAGCGAGCGATTTGAAGTCTGTGATTTTAACTGCTCTGCCACTGAGACCTCCTATAACTGTTTAAGATTATATGCTAAAGTACTATAGTATTGTTTGATTGATTGAGTTTTACATCACACCGACACAGTATAGGTCATATCGCGACGTTCCAGCTTTACTGGTGGATAAAGACCTCAGTTGCCCTTTCCGTACATTATTTCAGACACGAAAGGCCACCTGAGTAGAACCACCGACGATCCGTATGCTAGCTGGATAGCTTCCTCACATGAAAGAATCCAAAGTCCTGTCGGGATTGGAACCCACAGCGGTGAGGGGCCTATAGTATTGAATTTCAAGTAAGTTACTGGTGAAGTAAAACATCAAATGTTTTTCGGTGCATTATTTTAAGATGTCAACATTAATCTTCTGTCAACCAGTTTTCTTTTATATATTTTTCACATGGCAAACATCACACAGAAATTAAATCCAGAAATGATGGACATAAATTTTAACATATTAAGCAAATTTTAACCATTCCCCCACATGAAGACCCCAGTAAAAAGATAATAATTGTTATTTTACACTGATCACCTATATTTTGATATTAATTTGTTCAATTTTCATCTTGCACAGATGTTTCAACATTTTTATATAAATCAGTTTCATTTGTCATTTTCCACAGATGTTTTTAAGTCTGCATTGTTTCTGTAATTCAGAAAGTCAATAACAATAAATATATTATCCAGGTAACATGATAGTGCTTGCATAAGGACATCAGAAATTCAAGTAAGACTACACAAAGTATATGGGTTTTTTTTAACATTAATTGAATTATTCTTTAACCTTTACCTGGCTAAAACCCAGGGATTCACATTTGCAACTTTGCCACCAGTATAGAGCTAGGCTGATCTGTACATCCATGTACTCTCCCCAGGCTCTATACTATTTGCTGATCAAATTTTGTGTTTTGATATGAAAATCTAACTTCAAATGAACTGTTCCAAATTCAAAGTATGGCAAATGCGTTACACAAATACAGCAGGCTACAGGTAACATGATAAGTTACTTAAATGTATTTGTTTTATAACAATTCCATAAATACCGCATCTGACTTTTGCTGGCTGCATGGGTTCAAACCATGTCAGGGGCAAATTGTTTTGGTGAGCAAGAAACTTTACACACATTGCTTAGCACTGGTTCGTTCCTGTTTAGGAACGGATTTGAGAGTGTTTCAATAAGATTATAGCTTCAAACACAAACTAAAATAAATAAGTATAAACTTAACTAATACCTGTACTGTACTTTCATATAAACCATGATTTGGTAAGGTTTTTATGGTGATCTGAAAGTGGGCGTGGTCAACTTTGATATTACTGGTGAAATTACCCACTCTATTATCATCATCTTGGGAATGTAGAAACATTAAAACCTGGAAAAAAAGCAATTATAATTGTTAAACGCACATCTTGCCTCAGAAATGAACTATCATAATTGTTAAAGGCACATCTTGCCTCAGAAATGAACAATCATAATTGTTAAAGATAAACTATGCTTAAATTTGATATTTGAAAATATTGAAAATTGCTGCAAAGTCTGTTTGTTAATATAAAATAAACATGTTTTGACTTCACACAAAGTGAGTAAATATGTTATCTTTAAAATTCTTCACACTAAAGGTGGTCACAATATGAATATATAGTGTCATAAAGGATCAAATTTACTTCACTAGTAATTGGGAATGCAGCTTCCCAAAGTACAAAGTTTGCACAATCCTTTATTCAAATTACATATTAAGTTAGAATTTCATAGATTTCAATTTATTTCTATGATAAAAATATTTAAGTCAAAGATGGGCATAGTACATCTTAAAGGGCTTTATCCTATTATACATCAAAATTATTACACAAAACATTATGAAAATTTATTTAGATGTAAATAAAGAGAAACTATTTAGGTTGGCTTGTCTCTGTGCTGGTTGCATTTTGAAGTTGTTTACTCAGCAAGCATTCAGAATTTAAAGGAAAAGAATTTATTTAAGAAGGTTCATAAACTTGATTAAAATATAAAGTTTTCAAGCTGTTGAGATAACTTTTTTGCTTTAACTTAGGCATGTGTTATTCCAGTAAATATCTTCATCTGTAAATAAGAAAAGAAATTTCAAGTAAAATCTTCACTGATTATTGAAAAATAATCAGTTACCCCAAAGAGTTAGTCAGAGATCGAAAATTACACTTGTCCACTTGTAATTAATCTTCTAGATTTGAAAGTGATTATCTTTTGCCAGAAATATAGTCAGGTAAGCCTGTACGCAGTCTGACCAGACTCTATAATGTTGGAAGCTCTATTTTTGTATTTGATGCTGATATATCCATTTAGCTTTAAATGGACTATCCCAAATTCAAAAGGGGACAAATCAATTACACAAGTTTGTTTGTTTGATTGGGTTTTACCTCACACCAACAAAGTATAGGTCATATGGCCATGTAACTACTTTACTGGTGGAGGAACTGTGCATTTTTTCAGGCATGAACAGGCACCTGAATAGAACCACTGACGTTAAGTAAGCTGGTTAGTTTCCTCACATGAAACAATTCAAGTCCCTATGGGGATTTAACCTAAAAGCGGTGATGGGCAAATGGTCTGAAGTCAACCTCTTGGCCACGGACACTCTAACAGTTAAGCAAGATAAAAGTTGATATCAGAGTAAACAACCTGACTTACCTTCTCATTTGGTACTAACAGATAAGCATGAAGTAATTTATTAAATTCTAACACCGCACAGAACTGTCTCATCCTCTTTGTTTCTTTATTTAGGAACTTTATTAAAGCTTTTATAGAGTTTTGTACATATTTGTCTTGTGCATCGAGTTCTAGCTGTTTGAGGCATGTGCACCAATGAATTTCTATATGAGCGTCCGAACATGTTCGCTCAGGCGGAACTGGGCGTAACAAACTAATTCCTCGCTGTTTTCTCTTTGTTTTATGAAAACTTCTTTTAAGATCCAAGATGTCAAGTAATGTTTCATGTACATCAAACGGAGTTGTAAGCTTATCGGAATTATTTTTGAGATTCGTATATAAATGTGGATATTTTTGGCGGAACCATTTCGGGAATGTTAATGACATGAGTGGAAGTCTCTCTTCCATTTTTCCCTGAACTGTGTATCGCACTTTGCTGTATCTTGCACCATGATCACCAAATACAAAAAGCACCGTGTTTTCTAAATGACCATTGTGTTTTAAAAATTCAAATAACCCGACAAAATCATCGTCCATGTATTCACCAGGGTTGTTATCCCAGTGGGTAAGCTCACTTCCGAACATAAATGCGAATTTTGAGACATTGTCGTATTTCACAAAAAAGTCTTTCAGATAATTTATCAAATACATATGGTTTGGTGTATTTCCGGTGCAATAACGTGGGCTGTTCTTTCGTAAATCCGTGTCCCACAATGACTGCCAAAATGGCCGCATGTAATGATCAGTGGGTGGGTCTCTAAAACCATTTAATCTTAAATTAAACACTCCTATAGATGGTTCATCTTCACCAAACATTGTCACATAGCCTCTTTCCTGAAATCATACTATACATCTTAATTCACAGTACAAAATAAAACAATAATTTAAAGAATAACAGCTTGATACTTAGGTCACACTGTCAATGTTCATATAGCAGCTATCTAGCTGATGCAGGATGATCCAAGGTACCCCCTCAGCGCATTACGTCAGGCACAAGGGCCAAACAGGTTGTCCAGGCACCGACCCTTCATAATCTAACTTAACTTACTTTCTCAAATGAAAGCATTCATTGTGTCCTTTGCTTGATGTAAGACAAAGGGATTCAGTCAGAAACCTTTTATGCTTGGTTAAAGAGATCTTGTTTAAGGTAAGCAACAAACAAGAAAATAATTTACATAGTATTACAAGAAATACAATGATATTAATATGATAATTATATATCTATACTCTATGTACAACTTGATATGTACAACTTGAGACCAGGCAATTTACAATACAAAAATTCTTTTCGGACGTCATCAGTTATACACAAATGTAGAGGATATTGAATGAGTGTAGGTTTAATACTAAATTATTGAACGAGTTGAATAAAATCATATTATGCGAGCCTCTGGCGAGCTTTATTTTATTTTATACAACGAGTTCAATAAATTTAGTATTAAATCTACACGAATATAACATTCTATTTATCATATATATAAAATAAGAACGGTAAACTGTTATCAAGAGTCATTTTTCTTTGACGCGCCTATAGTGTAACGCTAACATTAGCGCGCTTTATAGCGCAAATGACGTGACGTCAAAGTGTTATTACACTAGTGTAATATCGTCTAGTGTAATATCGTTTTTATTTAATGGCTTTATTACACTCCTGCGCCTCGGTTTATGTGATAAAACATCTTTATATAGCTTCATTGTGATGAACCTCATCTTTGTATACCCATATTATATATATTTTGTATATACTTACTATAAACATTATAACGTAGTATGTAATGAAAATATACTGTGGGTAACCAACAATATGTTACTGGTATAAAATATATACTGTGGGTTACCAATACTATGTAGTATGTTAGGAATATATAACGTGGATAACTGACTATGTTGTTGGTACAGAATATATACTGTGGGTGAATGACTATGTAGTAGGGAATATATACCGTGGATTACTGACGATATGTAGAAGGTACCAAATATATACTGTGGGTGAATGATGATATGTTGCAGGTATAAAAATATATCATGGGGAAACTGACAATATCTAGTGGGTATGGAATATGTAATGTGGGTAACTGACTATATGTAGTAGGTACCAAATATATCCCGTGGGTAACCAACTGATGATGGATGCAGCTTATTAAACAACCTCAAGTCCACTTCCTGGAAGTAACAAGTTCTGGTTACCACACTTGTCAATCAGCTAGTAGCTCTCTGGTAGCATATTATCTAAATTGAGAGGCAGATATAATAACCACTATGCCATCTCTGCCATGAAAATTTGTTGAAATTACGTCAACTTAGCTAGAATTACAAATATTGGTACATGTACCTGATAATGTTTCCATATCAACGGGTATATGTCAACAGTTTCTGAATCAAACTGGTTCTTCCTAACCTCAGGTAGCTCCATCTCTGTCTTACCTATAACAAAAACCAGGATATTTTAGCATGATTACTGTAAGAAAATTGGAAAAATTTACCAAGTCTACTAAAACATTCACTTTAACAAGGTAAAACACAAAGTAGTAAAATTGGTACATTCTATAAAAAACCGTAATTATGTCATAGTATACCTAAAACGGTTATTAATACTGGTTGGCTGAAATCTTCACAATAAAATTGGGGAATTTTCAGAATACCTTAAAATCACGATTTAACATTTTCAAAAGGGGGGCTTTTAATAAAGATAAACAAGAGGGCCATGATGGCCCTGAGGTCGCTCACCTGTATATAGCCCCCCCACACACCCATAAGAAGATGTTTTATGCTAAACATCTAAGCTCTAGCTCATTGGGCTTTTTAAAAGAAGATTTTTTTAAGTTTTTACTATACACATATAGTTAAAAACAATGACACCCCTGGGGCGGGGCCAGTTTTTACCCCAGGGCTTTTATTTGAACAAACTTTGTAGACACTTACTAGAAGATGTTTAATGCTTAATATCTAAACTCTAGCTATTTGGGTTTTTTCAAAGAAGATTTTAAGTTTTTGCTATACACATATAAGGAAAATCAATGACCCCCGGGGTGGGGCCAATTTTGACCCCAGGGGTTTTATTTCAACAAACTTTGTAGACACTCACTAGAAGATGTTTCATGCTTAATATCTAAACTCTAGCTATTTGGGTTTTTTCAAAGAAGATTTTTTAAGTTTTTGCTATACACAAATATGGAAAATCAATGACCCCCGGGGCCGGGCCAATTTTGACCCCAGGGCTTTTATTTGAACAAACTTGGTAGACACCTATTAGAACATGTTTGATGCTAAATATCTTAGCTCTAGCTCTTTGAGTTCTTTAAAAGAAGATTTTTTAAGTTTTTACTATATGCATATAGGGAAAATCAATGACCCCCTGGGACCGGGCCAATTTTGACCCCAGCGCTTTTATTTGAAAAAACTTGGTAGACACCCATAATAAGATGTTTCATGCTAAACATCTAAGCTCTAGCTCATTGGGCTTTTTAAAAGAAGATTTTTTTTAAGTTTTTTCTATACACATATAGTTAAAAACAATGACACCCCTGGGGCGGGGCCAGTTTTTACCCCAGGGCTTTTATTTGAACACACTTTGTAGACACTTACTAGAACATGTTTCATGCTTAATATCTAAACTCTAGCTATTTGGGTTTTTTCAAAGAAGATTTTAAGTTTTTGCTATACACATATAAGGAAAATCAATGACCCCCGGGGCGGGGCCAATTTTGACCCCAGGTCTTTTATTTGAACAAACTTTGTAGACACTTACTAGAAGATGTTTCATGCTTAATATCTAAACTCTAGCTATTTGGGTTTTTTCAAAGAAGATTTTTTAAGTTTGCACTATATGCATATAGGGAAAATCAATGACCCCCTGGGGTGGGGCCAATTTTGACCCCAGCGCTTTTATTTGAACAAACTTGGTAGACACTCATTAGAACATGTTTCATGCTAAATATCTTAGCTCTAGCTCTTCGGGTTCTTTAAAAGAAGATTTTTTTAAGTTTTTACTATATGCATATAGGGAAAATCAATGACCCCCTGGGGCGGGGCCAATTTTGACCCCAGGGCTTTTATTTGAACAAATTTGGTAGACACTCACTAGAAGATGTTTCATGCCAAATATCTAAGCTCTAGCTCTTGGGGTTTTTTAAAAGAAGATATTTAAAGTTTTTTCTTTTGGTTGCCATGGCAACCAGAGTTCTGCATGGAATTAAATTCTTTGAACAATTTTTAAAGGTGACCACCAAAGGAACATTCCTGAGAAGTTTGGATGAAATTGGCCTTGTGGTTTATGAGAAGATGTCATTTAAAGTAAAAGTTTACGGACGCCGGACGGACGCCGGACGCCGGACGAAAAGCGATCACAAAAGCTCACCCTGTCACTATGTGACAGGTGAGCTAAAAAAAGATAGATGAGATCAACAAGAAAAGGTGTAGTGAAAATGATTGTTTTTTCTCTCTCTTCAAATGATGTAAAAAATTCCATGCAAGTTATGTTTAAACACATCATCATCCTGTCAACCCATGACACCTTTGATTTACACTGCAAGCTCTCTAATAATGAATTTTCCTCCCAAAAAAATCCTTGCAGTTAACACCTTTGTTTCTTTATTTTCTTTTATTTTCTTAGTTTAAATTTTACACTAGATTTTCAAAAGAGGGTGGGAGGCGTTATTTAGGGTGGGGCGTTAAATCGGGATTTTACGGTTAATTGTGGGAATTTCATTGATTCCATCCTATTGCATTCCATATTGTAGGTTACTTAAGAAAAACTTTTTATTCCCTTTAACAAAGTTAATTGTTATAAGGTTATGCAACATGATAGTTACACTTTTCATTTATTACAAGCCAATATGTGACATATGGTTGTAACATATTTCAAAACTGCTACAAATCAATGGCCATTATGTATTGTATTTACTTGTGTCTCATATATACAGTAGTAACAATAATAAACTTGTACACTTAGATGTAAAAACTGATTCTTAATTCCAATGTATGCTAGCTTTTGTTTGCATGTTTTAATTGTTTATATCCTGACTTGAACTACAAGCATTTTTTTGGTCATATCTCCCGTGGTCAACCATGTTACTACCGGCTTTCCTGAACAACTATTACTGGTAATAGGAAATGACTCTGCAATTATGACTGACTATCAATCCTACATGATTTTTCAATCAGGGGTGAGAGACAAATGACCATTAGATTCAATGGCTGAGATAATGTGAACAATGGCAGCTATAATGCCAATGGTTGCTTCCTAAATCTGCACATTTGTGAATTTGTCATTGTTTTAGGCAATTTGCCAATATCTTATAAAACATCAAAGAAAAAAGTTTAAATGAAATCAATTTAAAAGTAATGTACATGTAATTGAAAGTAAAGTGAATTATTGACCATAAGCAACATCTTGTCAAGTTAATTATATACCTGATATTTCAGGCCAGATCATCAACAGCACAGAATATCAAGGTATATTGAAGAAAATTGCTACACAGATATACACGAAAGAGTTGTGGACTGTGAAATTTATTACTAAAGATGAAGAACAAACTTTAGTTAGAGTCCATCCGAGGGTAAAATACAAGAATCGTTCAGATAATTCTACAAGCAATCCACTTTGTATGTTAATAGTCTGATATCTTACCTATCAAATTTCATCGAGACCCCAAGCTCAAAATCAATCTGGTTCCAAAAATTCAAAATGGCCGCCAAGATGGCGGCTGAATTTTCTTAAATATTCACATATTCTTTTTTCTATGTTTAAACTACCAAACTAGGATATTCTAATCTCTTTTGTTGAATATAAATATTGAACATAGACTGTTTTTTGTAAAATTCTTGATTTTTTATAAAAAAGATTACATACAAAATTTTTAAGCCATTTTTTAGTTGAAAAAATATAAAAAAAATGATTTTTTATAACAAAAACAAAGTTTCAATTTTCCTTGTGCTTCAAATGAGCCTTCAAGTATATCAACAACCATTAGTAAACTAGATTATAGTGTATTTTGCCATTTTAACAAAAGTTTTGCTACACTATCTTTATTTTCTTGTCTTCCTGGACGCGAATAGTGGGTGGGGTAAACAGACCCAATTGCGAAAAATGACAAAAAACGGCTTTTGTTAACACAATTACTATATACATATATATACATACTAATAGTGAAAATACATGACTAACAAACACAGTTTGAAACCCTACTGATGGCTTGGTGACATTGCAGATTTTTATTTATGTAAGTACAATTTTTCTTTGTTACATATTTTTAAATAAGATAAAACATAGCCCCCCCCCCCCCTTTCATTGGTACCTGTGACTCATTTTTCTAAAGTTGATCGAATTTTATTTGAGGTTTTGTTGCATTGTTACTATAGTTCAAATTGTTTTTTTTAATATTCTGGCTTATATGAAGACCACTATAGTTTCAATGCAATATTTTTTTGCTATACAGTAATATTAAAAATCTAAGTTGTTTTTTCCTTTGTTACAAATACGCCATGAAATGTGCAGAAGAATACAAAAATCTGAATGACAAACCCAACATTATTTAATTGTTCCCAATTTATTAAACCCCTTGTAAGTTTTGGTAAAACAAACCATGTGTCAACCTTTTTAAAGATTTAGATACAGTTTATCCCTATATATTTATCCCTAAAAGACTTACATCATCATTGCTTTGAAACTTGCATAAAAAGTCGGATGAAGAATAGTGGTCGGATGCATTTGTTTTTCATTATCAATAACAAACATTTTTTTCAATAAACTCAATTTGAATTTAAATCAGGGATGGTTTTGTTAACAACAAATAATGGCAAATTCTTTTATTCCAGGGGATTTGAGCTTTTGTGTGTGTCACATACTAACCAAATCTAACAAGATGTAAACTTGCAATACTAACATTATTTACTAATACCCCATGTCATCGAAAAAGTTTAAATTTGGTCCCTGTTGAAAGAAGTTGTTTACTCCCGTGTCAATCAGACAATTTCTAAGAAATTGACAAAGACTGGAAAAAAGCATCCTGTGTCAACAGGAATCAGAAGATGCACTAAGTTTGTCCGTTAATGAGTACAAAGAGAAATACAAAACCTGTTGGGGTTTAATAACTATAGCTCAAGATATTGAACGATTTGTTAAATCAGCCATTTTGCCCATTCAGACTTCCAGTTCACTTTACGCGTTGAGATATTGTTTAAACTTACTTACTAAAAAAAGTGCTAATTGCACAAAACTTTGTAGAAATAAAAATAGTTGTTAACAATGTGATAGGCCATAAAAAGGTCAAGCCTAGCTGGCTTCTGTTGAATACCAAAAAAATTAAACACGTTTAATATGTGATGCTGCTGCAAAATGTTGATTTGGTTTTGTTTTGCAACAGTAACAATGAATGAATGCGTAGGTGTCCACCTAGAAAATTGATCGAAAATACGAACATGGC